GCGACTACCGCCTGGCCCGTCTGGCCAATTGGCTCCAGAGCCCAGAGGCACAGCATCCGATGCCGACCTACAAGCAGACCTCCAGCGGCTACAAGAACACATCGACGCCGGCCAGCGGCTCGAATGGCAAGACCGAGAACATGATGATGCAGATGATGCAGATGATGCACGCCCTCAAGGAGGACGTGGACAATCTGAAAGCCGAGAGGCCTCACAAGAAGGTCGAAGCATCCAGTGTCTCCGAGATGACAGAGTCATCCACAGGCTCTTTCGTGCCGATCCCACAGTAGCTTCAGCTGGGAGTGTAGAAAACTTTAATTTGTCACAGGCGGGAATGCAGGTCGATAGTGAGCTCTGGAGGGGCTCATGTGAAGCCTTACCTGAGCAAAAAGTAAGACACTTGTCCCATTGCAGTGACAGATTGATTTCGAATGCCTTTGAGGCCCTGCTATCACACCAGCGCATAGAGCTGCTGGAAGTGGCATGTTCGGCCGACAGCGTGCTGTCTCGCACCATGCAACAAAAGAAAGGTGACGAGGGTGCGGCCCGACGCTGCTCACTTTTCAATGAGTATGATTTAGGAACCAACCAGGGGATTCACAAAGTCATTCAAGATATTGACCATTATAAACCAAAACATGTTTGGCTTTCTCCGGTTTGTGGACCTTTTTCAGTGATGCAAAACATCAACCAGAGAAGTGAAGCTCAGAAGGAGGCCCTTTCTGAGAAGCGCAAAGCTGCCATGAAACAGTATGTCGGTTGCAGTGTCATATATACGTACTGTATTCAGCATGGTATACATGTCACTTGGGAATGGTCACAATCATGTCAGGCATGGAGGCTTCCAATGATGCAGGAACTGGTGAAGAAACATAATCCATGGTTTGCTGTGGTACGGGGTTGTCGTGTTGGTCTTGTTGATGATGAGAAAAACCCAATTTCGAAAGGCTGGAAACTCATGACCACTCATGCTTTGTTGGCAAAAAGGATGAACATGCCATGTAGCTGTGGGCCTCACCAGAAACATGTGAAGTGCGAGGGTTCCCTTACCAACAAAACTGCTTATTACACCCCCGAATTTGCCCGAAGGGTCTGTGATGCGTTGATTCATGGAGCGGAAGATGAAGACCTAAAAAGGGAGTTTGTGGGAGACCACCAAATTGGGGAAACTTTTGGTAATGGGATCAGTTGCAGTTGTCACCACATTCATGATTCTCAACATGGTTTTGTTTGCGGTTCATGTGTTCATGATGAGCATGAAAGAATCAAGGGAACCAATCATGGGAAGTGTGACAGTAAGGGAAACCACGAAGTTCTGGTTGGGGAAGATAACCAACAAAGGGGTCAGGGTCTGACTAGTGAAGAAATAAGAAAACGACTGTACCTCTTACATGCTGCCACTGGCCACGGGCCAACCAGACACCTGGTGCAAGCCCTGCGACGCAGGGGAGTGTCAGAGGATGTGCTCAGGGAAGCCGAACGTTTTGAGTGTTCAGTTTGTAAGGAACGGGGTAGACCGAAGCCACGACCTTTAGCCACCTTGGAGCCTCACCCCCCAAAATGGGCGTCTGTGTCAGGGGATATTGGCCACTGGGAACACCCACAAACTAAGGAGTCCTATCAATTTTTGATGTTCGTTGATGAGGGATGCCGTTTTCGTGTTGGAAAAATTGTTCTTACGGGGAAAAGAAGTCACCTTACTGCCAATCAGTTTGTTGAAACGTTTGGGGAACACTGGGTTCAGTATTTTGGTTTTCCTAATCAACTCAGGGTTGATCCGGATGGTAGCTTCAGGAGTCATGTGGTTCAAGAATACTGTGATAGGCACCAAATAATGTTGGACATTATTCCGGGTGAAGCTCACTGGAAGGTGGGCATTTGTGAACAGGCTATTCAGGGTACCAAGACTCTCATGAACAAAATAGCTGAAGATGACCCAGAAGTCACCGCAGCAGAAGCTCTGGCTGAAGCCACTAGGACCTTTAATAGCCGAGAACTGATCCGAGGCTATTCGCCCATCCAACATGCCCTTGGCCGCGCGCCTGATGCCACCGGGCGACTTTTCCCTTGCAGCCCAAGTGAATGTCCAGAGCTGCTGGTAGAGAACGCCTCTGGTGAGATGGATCGCCAGCTCCAGCGAATGCAAAGTGCGGAAAAGGCCTTCCTTGAATGGACGGCAAGCCGGAGACTCCAAAAAGCCAAGAACTCAAAACCCAGAGATGTCACCAACTATGAGCCAGGAGACCTAGTGTATGTGTGGAGAAAGCAAGTGAGCGGCCAAGCAGCCATTAAGGGTGGCTCGTTTGTGGGGCCAGCCCGCATCCTGGCGGTGGAGCAACATCGCTCTCCCGACGGGACCCACAAGCAGGGCAGCTCAATTTGGTGCGTCAGAGGGAGAAGACTTCTCAAGTGCTCCCCAGAGCAACTACGTCGAGCCTCCGAGCGGGAGGTCCTCTTAGAAGAACTACATGCCAAACAGTACGATGACTGGGACTTTGATAGAGTAGCTCAACAACTTGGAGGGAACGAGTTTCTGGATGTGTCCACCGAGGTACCCTCTTATGCAGAATGGCTACGAGCTCAAGATCCAGTCCAAGAATGGCAACCAATGAGAAGATGTGCAAGAAAACGAGGCCCCATGGTAGATGAGATGAGTGGCATGGGACCGGCTCCTCCAACATCCAGGCCAACAGAGCGATCCAGGAGTCCAACTTCCAGGCCTACGCCTTCTACATCCTCAGGAGCACCCGTGTCACAGAGGCCTCGAATGTGTGCCCAACAAGGCATGGCTGCTGCCCCACCATGGTGGAACCAGTCAAGTATCCAGGAAGTGTTTGCAGTCACCGAGAGCACCTTCTGGATGGATGAGACCGCGGCCGTGGCCGTGGAGGTTCCCATGCCAGACACACGTGCTGGATCTGAACGAGCTCTTCGAGATCTCCCTTCTTACTTTGCCAGTAGCTTGAAGAAACGGTCAGCAGTTGAAGTCTGTGAGCGTCACCTATCTGAGGAAGAGCGACAACAGTTCCGATCTGCAAAGGCCGTTGAAGTGAGTAACTTCATAGCTGCCAAGGCTTTTGAAGCCCTTCCAGAGAAACTTCGCCCAGCACGCGAACAAGCAGTGAAGATGCGCTGGATACTGACATGGAAGCAGAAGGAGGATGGCAGCCGAAAGGCGAAAGCCAGAGCCGTCCTCTTAGGATACCAAGATCCATGCTATGAACAGAGAGCAACGACTTCTCCAACCACGACTCGCCAGACCAGGCAACTGCAGATGCAATTAGCCGCTTCATATCGCCACAAGATGCGAAAAGGTGATGTGACAGGTGCTTTCCTGCAAAGCAGGCCATACCCTGATGACCTTTTTTGTATACCATGCCCAGAGATCTGTGAAAGGATGGGACTCCCAGCAGAGTCAATCACCAAAGTGAAGAAAGCCTGCTATGGCTTAGTTGATGCGCCCCTGGAATGGTATCGTTCCATTTCCGATTTCTTTGCAAAACTCGGATTGCAAAAATGCTGGAGTGACGCATGCTGCTGGGTTTATGTGGTTGATGGGGTTACCAAAGGGATTATTTCTGGTCATGTTGATGATTTCCTTTTTAGTGGGGATGAAACGCATGAGGGTTGGTGTACTGTTCTCAAGAGTATCCAAACGGAATATAAATGGGGAGATTGGGAAGAAAAAAGGTTTACCCAATGCGGAGTTCAAGTGGAACAACATGAAGATTTTTCCTTTTCGTTGTCGCAACCGAAGTATGTTGAAGACTTGAAATATATTAACCTGAGAGCCTTCAGGAAGAAAGACCGAAATGCACCCACTGAGGAGTCTGAGAAAACACAGCTTCGGGCCTTGCTGGGAGGGGTCTCATGGCACGCACAACAAGTTGCGCCCCACTTCAGTGCTGAAGTCGGCTTGCTGTTGTCAGAGGTGAACAAGAGTACTATAGAGACCATTTACAAGGCTAACAGGTTACTTGACAAAGTCAAAGATATGAAAGAACACTGCATGAAGGTACATGCCATAGAACCACACATGTTGTCACTGTTTGCATGGGTAGATGCCGCCTCCCAGAACCGCGTAGATGGCTCAAGCACACAAGGCATTATAGTTGGAATTTCATCTCACCGGTTACGTCATGGCAGCTGTGAGCCAGTCACCTTTGTCGCCTGGCATTCGCAGAAGATTGGCAGGATCTGCCGCAGCCCCGGAGCAGCAGAAGCAGCAGCAGCAAACAACGGAGAAGATCTCCTCTTTTTTGCGAGATTCCAACTGGCAGAAATGATGGGAGCTCAAGTCAATGTGAGAGACATCAACAGTGTCGTCAACCAGATCAGTGGATGCCTGGTTACTGACTCCAGGAATGTGTACGACAAGTTAGAGACCGAGGTCTTGTCCGTGAAGGGCGCTGAGAAGAGAACAGACCTGGAGTTACTCTCCTTGAAATCTGCCCAGATTCGCAATGCTGTGGAGATTAGATGGGTTCATAGTGAAGCTCAGCTATCAAACGGGCTGACCAAGAGCAACGAGCACAAGCAACTGCACCTGTTCTACCGCATGGGCCACAAGTGGCGCATAGTCGAAGATGAAGAAAGAGCGTCAGCTCGGAAAAGGAAGCTGCTAGGCCTGGAGCCTCTTGAAAACAGAAAGAGTCAAGGGCCAGAAACCGAGCCGGAGACACCATGGAAACCCACGGAATGATTTTCGTCTTGTTTGGTTTTTCTTTGTCTTGGTTTTGGTTTTGGAGAAAAAGTTCAAGGGGTAGCATCACTATCTCATAAGGAGAAAGAAGATGCGGGGGGCATGCTGTTTTTACCACAGCACTCATAGGCGTTGACATGCCTATTCCGTGAAGTATTGGCTGAAAAGAGCCGCGGAGCGAGATTCATGAGGCGTTGAACACCCCTCCTTGTCCAATCGATTCCAGTGACTCTTCATATCCTACTTGAGCACTTCTACCGCTTGCATAATATACACATAACAATCATAACAGTGGTGATATTTATGCATCCATTGCGACATGGCTGCCTGACCGTGGCCATGTCCAAAGATCGACCGGGGTCTGGAGGCGAGATTGGCCATATACCATACCTGTTTGACCATTCGGTAGGGGTAATAGGTAAAATGTTGTGTATATATGTATCATGTATGTATGTATATATATATATATCCATACATCTTATCATCGATGTTTTTTCCTTGGTTTTATAAACCTAAATATTGAACAACTCCGACTTTTTTACATGCGGTTTACAAGGCCAAGTGGTTAATAATGGTTTGTCTGAAAAAAGGACTATAACCCCCAAGGTTATTTTTGTGGAAAAAATATGCAGATGTGCCCCATTTCAAGGCAAACCTAAGATTACCCTCTGGTAATTCAACGTATAGCTATTGAAAATGGTTTGGCTGTCGATGATTTGCCCACTGAATATCTTGATGTTCCAGTTCGCAAATTGTTTAATTCCCCACCTGCCAGGTGAGGGTTGTTAGATTTTATGTCAGTTGCCTCCTCCTCCTCCTCCTTCTCCTCCTTCTCCTCCTCCTCCTTCTCCTCCTCC